CTTCTCCTCTGCCTGCTTCTCCTCTGCCTCCTTCTCCTCTGCCTCCTTCTCCTCTGCCTCCTTCTCCTCTGCCTCCTTCTCCTCTGCCTGCTTCTCCTCTGCCTGCTTCTCCTCTGCCTGCCGTGCCTGCCCCCCAGGGCGATGGACACCGGCTCCGTGCTCTCCCGCAGCCTCCTGCTCTTCCTGGGTGAGTCCCGGGCTCTGCCCGCGCCCCGCGGCTCCGGGAGGGGACACGGGCACCCCCGGGGTTGGGCAGCCCTGCTGGGGAACCCCCCCAGCAACACGTCCCAGCTCAGCTGGCTTTCGGGTGTTCCTCCTCTGAGGTGAAGTGAGGGGCAGGGATGGGGGGACCCGGGTGGCTGTGGGAGTTGGGGGGGGGGACACGGGGCTGGCTTGGCTGGTGCTGCTGTGGGGTGTTGAGTTGCTTGTGTGATGGATGCCCGGGTGTCCCCTGTGGCTGAGTGAAGGTGAACGTTCATTTCCCCTCTCCCCAAGTCCTCTTGCAGCACAGTCTGCTCCAGGCAGTGCAAGTCTTCTCTTTTACCTTGTCCTGTCTGGTCTGTGGTCTGGTCCTGGTGCCTTCACTCAGGCTGTGCTCCAGGTGAGCTCAGCAGGTGAATCCCCATGGCAGCAGGGACTTCCTTATAGTAACCAAACAGGCTGTGCCTTCCCTTTGCTTGACACTTCTCCACCTCCTTGCTGGGAACATGTAACTCTATTGCATGACGTGAGCTCTCTGGAAGTCCAGGGTGAACATGTGTATCCCTAGAGCATCAGTGTGCTGTGAAGCAGCAGCTGGTCCTGATCCTGGCAGGCACTGCCCCTGTGAGGAGGTGACTGCAACTGTGTGGGCAGCCAGTGTTTGAGGCAGGACCAAGACCTGGCACATGCACACAGTGCTTTAATCACACTCGTGATGTCGGGCTCAGGGTGGCAGTGGATGGGGAAGCTCAGCTCCCAGGCTCAGCTCCCAAGGCTTCTCTTCTGGGGCAGATGTTCCCTCATCTGTAAAGCCCACTGCAGCATGAGCTTCTGCCTTCCATCTTGGCCAGCTGTTTCCATAATAGCTGATGGGTCAGCTGCTGCACAGCATCTTACTTGCCAGGACAGAGGGCTGAACAGCTTGTAGTCTGTGACTCAGCCATGCTTTGTACAGAACTGGCACTGGAAGGAACTGGTATGTCTTCATGGATTTGGATACAGATTTATTAATTTCCGGGGCAGGCACAAAACCTAATAGGAAGGGGTGGATTAGTCATAGCTAGATGGCATCATAACAAAGTGGTACAAGCACTTTACTGCCTTTCCCTCCCAGGTCAGTAGTGTAAACAGAACTCGGTGCCACTGGCAGGAGGTAAAAAGACTGTAGCTGGTGTTATGCCAGTCTTACAGATGTTCCCTGCTTAACAGCTGAAGTCCAACTGAAGCAACATTCATTGCCAGCTTCTCACCCTGCCTACTGTGGGCTTGGCCACTGTGCAGCAGAAAGGCAGTGGTGGGAGAGCTGTCACTCACCTCTGAGGAGCCATAGTGCTGTGCCAGCCACACAGTGATGTGGTGGTGATGGAACCAAGCCCACGCCTGACCTTTTCCATGAGTTACTGCAGGAGCCTTGGCACTGGTCTCCTTGCAGTCACTATAATCCCTCCTCAGTGAGGAAGGCAGGCCTCAGACCTCCAGACCCACTGAACAGTTTCAGGTGCTGCTGACCTTATGTTTTCCTGCGTGACATTTGTCTGGCCATCAGCAAGTGGGCTGGACACAGGTTGCTGAGTCTGGAGATGTGGAAAATGGTGTTAGCAGATGTGTCTGGAAGCAACAATGGATTTCTGCTTCTTCTGTAGTGTAGGGACCTCTCCCCCCACTCATGTGGTGGAAAGCAGAGTGGTACAGGGGTAGCATGTAAATGAGATCACTGTTGTGTAGGTCCCCAGAGGGGTGGAAGCAATGCTGAGGTGACTGCATGCACATAGTGTGTAATTATCTGCATTATCTCTGCTTAAGGGTAAGTCCTGGCATGATGCTGAAGGTGATTGTGTAGGCCTGTAGTAATTTTGGAGCAGTCCTCCCCAGGGCTTTCTCAGAGCTACTCTGGCCTGGACCTGGGCATCCATGACTTTGGGTTGGCAATTCTGAAGTCATGGGTACTGAATGTGAGATGGAGAAACCTGGACACTACTTCCCAGAAACACATATAGACACTTCTGCACAGTTGCCCTAAAGGTGATCTGAGCCCCTTTCCCTCCCAGGCCCATCACATCTGGTGCCTCCATTTAGACAATGGCCAAATATACATAGAATGCAGAGGGATGGGGGGTGGAAAGGACTGATAGCATCTCCTTTCACATGGGTGAGAAGAGCAACCTGTACATCTTGTCTGTCTCATCTCAGGAAGAGGAGCGTTGGGCACTTGCCTTGATGGGCATGGTCAGGCAATTAGGCACCAGGTATACCCTCCCCAAAACCTCAAGAAGAAGCCAGGTGATGTATCCTGAGTGCAAGGATGGGGAGGTGTGCTCTGTCTGAGCTGGTTAAAGTTGTCTCAACTGACTGCTTCCCCTTTTCCAGGAAAAAATGCTGAGCCTACATGGGTAACCTGAACTTCAGAGATGCTGTGATTGATGTGAGCAAGGTCTAATAGCTGCACAGCCAGATCTTGAATAAGACTAAGCTATTTGCAAGGCTTTCCTGGCTAACTCTGCATTTCTGTGGTCCTCATCTAAAACACAGGCACCCAGCAGCCTCTATTGCCAGAGGTCCTTGCTCTTTCTGAGATGGCCTGCAAGCTCCTGTGGCTTGCTGGGGAGGTGAGCAGCAGAGGGCTACAGAAGGCAACACTGAAGCTCAAGGGTGGTAGCAGTGGTGCTCATGAGGCCAATAGACAGACTGGCCAACTTGCCCCTTTCTGCTTAGCCTGTACAAAGGAGGCCTTAAACAGTCAGACACACTCTGGGTGTCCAAAATCATGTGACAGGAACCCACCTTGATCTGTCTCCACAGTTAAAGTGGGCTGAGATCCTCCAGGCGTGTGTCACCTGGACACCTCTGTGCTTGGCACTGCTTTGAGAGTGCAACCCATGGGAAAAGTGTAGGTGCTGCCACTGTGGCAGAGAGACCAGAGGTGCCAAATGTGAAGTGGCTTCATGGCATCTTCAGGTGAACAAGTACATGTACGAGACTAGTGATCTTGGTGACAGGCAAAGCCAACTTGAACGATGATTGATCCCTTTAAAACAGGTGTAAATCTTGCAAAGAGACTAGTTCTCAGGTACAGGTGTTCTGGATATGCATCCTTCAGCCTTAGCAGTCATCCTGTAACTGGAAGCTGTAGCTGGCATTCAGTGAGTGACCTGATAATTACCCCTTGCATGTCAGCTTTGGTGAAGGCTGCAGGATGTGAAGGCAGCCAGTGTCTGTCTCTCATTTCCCTTTGATCCTTCATGGAAGGATGAGCAAACAGTAGCATTATTCCTGTTCCAGTGACAGCCACTGCTGCCACTGTTAACCTTACAGGAACTCCTGCAATGCCAGCTGGTATTGCCCCTACAGGCTGGTGGTGGAGCCACAAGTGCAGCCCTTGAGTTCCTGGGAATAATGAATATCCACCAGCTCATTACTGTTATCTTGTACCCTGTAGAGTGTTTGCTTAGTGAACAGCAAAGGAATAAAAATGTCACTTCCTCTCCCAAGTCCTGTGTTTGGTACACATCAGCTGATAGCCATTCAGGGAAAGGCTCTCCTTTGCCATTGTGGTGTGTGGATCCCTTATCCTCCTGCAGGATCCCCCTCCCATTGATGTCAGAGGAGAAGTATGTGGATGGGGGAAAGGGCAAAATATAACAGTGGAAGAACTTTGCCCGAATGCAGAAAATACTGCTGGGTGTCAGCAAATACCCACACCTGCACTCCAGGCTTCTGCTGCCTGGTGTCTGCAGTCAGGCAAAGGAGGCTCTGGGTGGCTGTGCATGGCTAGAGTGGGGCAAGCCCTTGATGTTGTAGGATGAGGTTGTTTTTAACTTGTCCCTCGCAGGTGTCTTGAGTTTTGGCCTTTCCTCCAGCTGGAAAGCTGTGCCTCCTTCCAGGGCAAAGAGCAGAGCTGACCCATCTCCTTCACCTGCCTAAGTTTCTAGAGTTTCTCAAATGCAAAAGCTGGGTTCTGGCAACTCTCAAACTGGGAGCTTCAGGTTAAAAAGCAACTGCTCACATTATGCTCGGATCAAGGAAGCTGAGACAGAAACATGTAAGCTACAAGAGATCCTGAGCTGGCTTAATCCTTCTGCTTAACTAAGAATGATAGAAGTGGGTATCTTGGGTATGCAAGCATACTTGGCCTTGACATGTGCTTGTTGCTGTCACGTGGCTCCAGACCAAATCTCACCACAGCACGTCACACAGACATGATGGCAGCAGCATGTGGGGAGCAAGGGGGAGCCTCAGGTCACCAACTCTGGCTGGTCTCAGGATTTCAGCATCTCTTTTTGCAATGAACTCTCTGCTTAGTGGGACAGAGCTGTCCTGTGCCACAGGAGCCCGTGGAGCACTCTTGAAACATTCCCCTAGCTCCCAGGAAGAAGGACTGACTTGGTACATCTTTTCCTAACATCTTTTGGGACACTGGGTCCCTGGCTGAAGCTCAAAGCCTGCTGTTATAGCAGTAACTGAGCTGCCACCAGATGCCTCATCCTTCAAACCCTCAGTTTTCTGTCCTGTTGACTGGAATTGGCCTTACAGTGTTAAACTGCTTCCCCTGCTGAAACCTACAGCAAGCACAGCACTGTTGAAACACAGCCACCAAAAAAACCCACCCTGAAAGTAAACTTGCTGGTCCTGCCCCATCAGAGTGAAAGGCAGGTCCTGCTGAGTCACGGTGGCAGGCACAGGTGTCTCCAGCTTACTCCCCTGTACAAAGCAAGATGCCAACATCATTGGTCAAGTGACTCTCACTCTGGCAAACCTGGCATTTTCCTTTCTTCTAAAGTGTGGTGGAAACCTGGCTGACTAGCTTGGAATGTGGTGGAGAGGGAGGTAAAGAGAAGGAATATTCTCTCTAAAGAAACAAACACAAAAAAGCCCCTGTCTGATTAAGGTGGATTTTCCTACTGTTCTTGTATCTATCTGGAATAACACATGATGGAAATAAAGCTACAAATCACCCAGCAATAGAAGAGCTACAGGAAATCCACAAATCACTTCCAGATTTAACTCTGCCATGTAATGAAACTTTCTAATAACTGGAGTTGAATTAGAGTGATCAAGAAATTATGAAGGCACACTCCCTCCATTAGACATGCATGACCTGACAAGTTAATAGAGGCAAACAGCCCAAAGACACGAATTACAGACTTCTGTGGAATGGGACTCATGACTAAGCAGTTCATGAGCAGGTTCATTTGTGACCACAGAAGGAGTGCTAGCCAAGTGGATTCCATGGCCAGCTGGGGCAAACATGGGCTGCTTCTCATGGGCTAGCCATGAAGCTACAAGTGCTTGGGTTGGCTTTCAAATCCCTTTTGGAGATGTTCCTTTAGCTGGCAGAATACCTGAAAGCTGTGTCTCTGCAGCATTATACAGCCTGAGAGAAGGGAAGCAGGGCCCTTGCTGCCCTAGGAAGTGCAGCCACCTCTCCAGCAGCCAGACTTCACTGTGCAGCGACCTCTCCAACCCAGTGGGCAGATGAGAAGGGTTTGGTATCTCATGTTAGCTGTCCTTGCAAGTGGGTTTTAACTGAAAAACTGAGACATGAAAGTGCAACCAGGCTTGCAGGCTGGTTACAGCAAGCAGAGGGCTGAGGATGAAGAGCAGCATTGGTGTGAAGCCCACCTTGAGCAGCATGTGGTCTCTGAAGGCAACGGTGGGGCACTGAGCATGGTCAGCACCCACTTGATGTGCTGAGTCACCAGCTGCACTGACTTGATGAGTCCTTGGAAAGTCTCTGCCCATGGGACTCAAGGATGTCTTGATTTTGATCACCAAAAGAACTCCTGCTGGGGTGAATGCTGGACTCTGGGGCCTGTTTGTGGAACCCTGGCCATGTCCCTTGCGCAGGTGCCATGCCAACCTGTTCAGAAACCCAACGTGGGCAGAGCTGGCCTAATTCCTGCCTCTCCTGTGTGCCTCTCCAAGCCTGTTCCTGCCCAGTTTCACTCGGAGTGTGTGTGAGGGGTGGTCACAGACACTGAACTTCTGTTTGAAGTTTGTTCTACATTAAAAGCTTGTATTTTGGAGGTGTTTCTTTGGGCTGCCTTATATAGTATAGGCAGCAAATCTCTCAGACCTCTTTATTTCAGCTTATAAGGCTTTTTTCCTACAAAGATAAAATGTTTCTGTTTTTCTTGTTAATAGGAGTGTAGTAGCTGAAATTCTTAATTCTACTTGAAAAGCATCTAGTTTTGACTCATCTTTTTCATCTCTTATAGGTTACCTATTAGAAGGAGTCTTGGGCACAACAGTGATCCCATTATGTGGGCCTGGTGAAATGGAGAACTGTACAACAGCACTACGTGAGTTACTGCACAGCTCTCATTGTAAATAACAAGTCTTTGGTTCCCATCTTGCTTGGGCTGGTGGCATCACTGAGGTCCTCTCACAAATAATTGCTCTGTTGAGCAATATTGCCAACATCCTGCAAAGCTCTCAGTATCATTGAACAAGAGCCATTTTTTTAGCCTGCATTTTCTTTAATATTGCTTTGTCAGCAGATGAGCTTTGTCTGAGGTGAGAACTCTGCTGTAAAAACAGAAATAGATTATGTGGAACTCCTGAAGGAAAAGTCAGGGGTCTTTTCCTGGCCTAGGAGAATCCTCTCCCTGTTCACAAGCCTCACCTTCTTTAATGCCTCCTGCACTGGTCTCTTGGTAGCCAGACTAGTAGTCACATGTGTAAAGCTTAGGAAATACAAAGGGACAATAAGGCTGATGGGATGCTAATGAAGTCTTCTTGCAGTCCAGACAGAGAACAGTCCACGTGTGGCTCAAGTTGGGATAACTAGATGCAAGCCTGAAATGAAGGACTACTGCTTCCACGGGCAGTGTGTGTACATAGTGGACTTGGATGAGCACTACTGCAGGTATGGGCTGGGCACAGTGTGTCCTGCAGGGCTTGGATGGGCACTACTGCAGGGCTGGGCTGGGCACAGTGTGCCCTGCAGGGCTTGGATGGGCACTACTGCAGGGCTGGGCTGGGCATAGTGTGCCCTGCAGGGCTTGGATGGGCACTACTGCAGGGCTGGGCTGGGCATAGTGTGCCCTGCAGGGCTTGGATGGGCACTACTGCAGGGCTGGGCTGGGCATAGTGTGCCCTGCAGGGCTTGGATGGGCACTACTGCAGGGCTGGGCTGGGCATAGTGTGTCCTGCAGGGCCTCCCTCAGCTAGGCTTGGAGATAGAAACCCTGCATGGTCTGTGGTCTTGCTGCTGCTGACTGCTAACACCCATCCAGCCAAGTTCACAAGAACTTCAAGAGGAGCAGTGTGTCTGTGATAAACCTTAGCTGCATTTAAGCAAGTGTTAAGCACATTTGGTGGCTCCAGTGAGAGCTGGGTGAGAGTCTTAGCTGAAATTAGTCACTGACCCAACTTAAACTGGGGATGCTCATTCTGATCTGCTTCCCTGTTCATCTGCATTTACAGTAGCATGAGATCCAGACCTCAGGCAAAGCAGCAATGTCTCTCCTTTGATCCACACTGCAAAATATAAAGACCCTCTAGGTGTTTTTAAGGGTATTTCTTGGTTCCTTGAAGAATTTGCAACCATTTCTGGGAGTGCATGGGCTTGAGTTCCATCAGTTCAAATTGCTTGTCCCAGGGGAAACAGGAGGTCAGAAGAAGAGCCTGTGTTGAGGGCTGGTGAAGTGATGGCTCTGATTCTGCCTCTCTTACCCTCAGGTGTGATGTAGGCTTCTCTGGTGTCAGATGTGTGCATTCAGAACTTGTCAGACAGCCCCTCAGTAAGGAGTACGTGGCACTGACCGTCATCGTAGTCCTGCTCTTCCTCGCTGCCACCTCCATTGCAATCTACTACATCTGCAGAAGGTAAGAGGATTTTCTTCATGGCTCAGGAAGTCCAGTCAGCTGTAGGTGTAGTAGGATGTCCACCGAGGACCTCCAGATAGACCAGGTTACCTACACTACCTCCAGACAGACTGGGTTACCTACACTGACTTGACTGCAGGGAGGTGTTTTGATACACAGACCTGCTGGCCTGCACTTAGTGAAGTGTGCAGAAAAAGGCAGCAAGCACAGCTGAGCCCACGTGGCAGGGTCTGCACAGCTGAGCCCACGTGGCAGGGTCTGCACAGCTGAGCCCACGTGGCAGGCCAAGCAGCAGGACCCTTTGATGCCTCCTAATCCTGACAGAGGACTGTACAGGTTAGTTCACCTCTGTCTTAGAGGATGTGCTGAGGTAGAGGAGAGAGCACATGAGGAACAGGGAAATTGTGGTGCCTTTTGTTGGTAATGCCATTTCCCCAGTCATCAGGAACTTGGGTGGATTAATGCTAATTAGTTGACCCGCTGTGTTATTGTAGTGACTGTGATATCACGAGCATTGCTTTACCAGCTTTGCCATGGAGGACAGTAGTTCCCTCCCTTAGCAGACCCACCAGCAGCAGGAGTTGTTCTTCAGGCTGATAACTGATGGTAAGCAGCTGTCAGGGAGCCCAGAAGGAGGAACCACCCCCAGAGGCAGAGCTCAGCTTCACAGGTCTCACAGCTAGAAGGTGAGGGCTCCTCTTCCCCACCCGAAGACTGGATGGTGCCTCACCTCCAACAGAAGACTGCCTAGTTGGGTAGGGTGCTCAGCCCTGTTGCAGGGAAAGATCCAGCAGGATTTCTCAAAGACAAACCTAGTACCAGCAGCAAGTCTTCAATGCAGATGTGAAATCCTCAGTGAAGGGCTGAGAAATGAGACTCTGCAGGCAAGTTATCTCAGACCTGGACATGAGCACAGACAGAGCCTAGCTGCTAGAGGATTGAAACAAACCTTAGGAGGTCATACAGTGTTGGTTTTATTTTCTTTCTTCATCCCCCCCCTCACACCCCAGAAAGCCATTTGGAAGAACTGGCTTTCCAGAACTCACACTTCTTTCCTTCCAGGTACCGAAACAAGAGGAGACGAACAAACGCCAGCGAGTACAAGGAGGTTGGTGCCCTGTAGAAGAGCTGGTGGCTTCCTGCAGTGTTCTGTTCACCTGGGTGGACTCAGAGGCTTCCCATCTATTTAAATGTTATTTTTATTAAATATATTTACAATATTTATATCCTTAAAAAAATTTCAGATGTTCTGTGATCCAATCAGTATAGGTCAAGCATTGTATTTTCAGTGTTTTATTTTTTTATTAAATAATATTTCCTAATGAGAACCCCACCTGAGTGGTTCTGTGGGATAGAGATATATTTTTATAAAAACTCATCTTCTTACTCTCAAGAGTAGTTTTATATTTATTCTTGTGAATATGTTCAAAACAATTCTACTCCTTAAAATAAAAGTTGTTAACAAAGTCAAAATGTCTCTGTGGTTTGACTTGAAGGAAACTTGGCATGGCTTGGTTGAGTAGGATGTTTGGAGCCCCAGCAGTTCTTTTTGGAGAGAGAAACCATAGTATCACTGATGATATGTATCCAATGAACATAGCTATTAGCTGGTGTGATTGGAGGAAGACTTCAAGGAAGCAAGAGCACAGCTCCTGGCACAGCATCTCCAGCATCTGCTGCCTGACAGCAGCTCTTGGCTCATCCATACCATCAGGAACGTTGTGCTGATACACTTTGGATCACAGCAGCACAAGTTGGTGGATCTCTGCAGCTGAACACAGTAACAGATGGCAGCTCAGGGTGTGAGTGTAGCTGCAGAACAAAAGCTCCCTCAGGCTTGGTACCAGCACTTGAGTCCTTCCTGTAGCACTTCTGCCATAGTGTCTGTTGTACAGCTGGGAGCAGGGCAAAGTTTTTGAGCTTAGGCTTAAAACAGGTATCTTGTTAGCCTGAAATAATGATCAAATAGCCTGATGGGTTTAGCTGCACCCTGAGTATGAGTCCCTGTGAACAGGAAGGCTTCTTGCTGCATCTCAGTCATCCCTGTTAATCCCATCACTTCTCAAACTTCCAAGTTTGAGAAAGCAAGGAGAAAGCACAACCTTGATGTCATTCCTGGTCTTTTGTCAGAGGTCCATGTGAGCTGCAAGGCCTGTGTTCTTGGTGTTTGTGAGAGTGAGGCCTGTGATCTCTTGGCCCGTGCAACAGGATCTTCCGAGGGAAGAATGAACGGTGGGACCTGAGAGGCCACAACGTGATGGGTTTCAGAAGCTGTTGTTCAGCCAGAGGCCCTTGTGAAAGAATAAACTGGCTTGTTCCCTCTCCTTAAATTGCCCACGTGTTAGATGCTTCTGAGACCAAGCAAATATAAGGGGGAGATCTTATTCTCAGAAGTGACTTGCCTTGCTTTTCTGCTGTGTGTTGTCCAGCACGAATTTTCAGCTGAGCTTGTAGGTAGCAGAGCTTAAATCTGCCTTGCATTGTCCTGCAGATGGAAGCCTGCCTGGGACCTGCCATGGCAGGGATCCTGCAAGCTCCTTCATGCACACATGCAGCAATCCTGTGGCAGGAGGCTGTTGGGACAAGTTGTTTGGGCAGCAGCCATCCTCAGGAATGTGGCTGTGGGGCTCCTGTTGGAGAATGGGGTCTGTAAGTGGGAGCTGAGGGTGGTTCCTGCAGTTGAGGCTGGGAGGCAGGGTGGAAAAGACTTGCCCGAGTGCTCTTCCCTGGCCCTGTGGCCTGTGTCCCTTCCTTTGGAACAGATGAGTCATGTGGGATGACAGCTCTGCTTCTTGCCCAGCTTGATACTCACTTCCTGACTTGGAGGAACTTTCCCTGCTATCTTTCCTCTGACAAGCACCAGCAAAGGTGTGGTCGGGCAGACCTGGGCTGTGCTGAAATAGCTCTGCCCAGAATCTGCCTGTTTTCATTGCACTTCTCTCCCCAGTGGGGACTGCAGGAGGTGATGAGGGGGGATGTCTACCTATAGCAAAACAAAGGTGTGACCCCAGCAGACCAACATTACACGTGATAGATGCTCCAGCAGCACACAGCAGGGGATGCTCCAGGCTGCTGCATCTGAGTTCTGCTTGAAAGGCCTTGCCCAGCCCTCAGTGCAGGTCAGCTGGGTTTTAGGATGGGTCTGGTGGGTACAATTTTTTCCCTGGTGTGCCTGGTCCTTTGTGCCTTCCTTCAGCATCAAGTTAGAAGGGCATTGTTGGTCATTCCCAGTTAAACGGGTTAACTCTTGTGTCACACGGCCATTATTAGCTGCTCCTCAGCTTTTCACTTCCTCTCTCCTGCTGTAATCCAGTTGTCACACAGGAACCTGTTCTGCCAGGTTACTGGTGACAGCTCATGGGCAACCCCAGCCACAGCCTCATTGTTTGCACAGCCTTTCCCAGTGGGAAGATGGGGCAAAAAAATTGATTCTTGGAGCCTCCTGCTGTTCTTGCTGTGACCCAGTTAGGAAACGTGGTGACACCTTTGTTTCCCCCTCAGGCTTCCCTGCCTGTCTGTGAACTGCTCCTGCTGGTCCCTGTCCATCCTCCAGAAACATGGACTTGCAGGAGGGACCCAGCCCAGAGGCACGTGCAGCTTCTGCTCCTCTGCTCCCCCTGGTTTGAGCATCACAAAAAGGGACTCTCCCCACACCTTTTTGTAAGTGATGACCCCGCCTATCTGAGGTCCCATTATTGCAGCTCCAGTGGCCAAAAGTGGCTTCCAACTCTCCCCCTGCTCATTGCCAGCCCCTCTGCCCCTGTGCAGCCCCACAGAGGGAGGTCTCAGCTGCCCACGCTGTGCCCACTGCTGCACTTGCACAGGTGTTAAATTGCAGTGACAGCAACAGCTATTTGAGTCAGGTAAATCCAAGAGGAACTGTCCACTTTCAGGCCTGGGCAGGATGTGTTTGGGTTTTTTTTCTATCTATGTTAACTTTTAGCTGACTGCCTTGATTTGACTTGGGCTTTCTCCTCTTATCCTGTTGCTCATCTTTCTCCCAGCCCATAACAGCCCTTGAGACCCTGTGTTTTTCTCACTCCTGCACATGATTGAGCAACTGAACAAGCCTGGGGCCACATACCAGCCTGCCACCTCAACAGCTTGGGCTGGCTGGATGTAGATTGCTAGTCCAGCAACCGTGCAGCCAGGTCCTGATGACACACCCCAAATAATTTGTCTCAGAGAGTGAACCTCCCTCATTCTTTCCATGGTTTCTGCTGGCACCACCTCCATCCCTCTGGTGCAGCTCTTCCTCACCAGCACCACCCACTGTCAGAGTCACCTTTGGCTGCAGGTCTCTTCCCTCTGCTGAGAGCACCTGCCCTGTGCCTCCAAGGCTGCCCTGCCTCAGCCTTCCTTACCAAATGCCTTTGTCTCCTCCACCAGAGTTACAGGCTCCTCTCAGGGAAGTTCTCCCATGCCTGTGTCCAGCTGCATCATGGCAGGTGCATGAAACAGGTGCTAGGACAGGAGCTAGAGGCTGGTCCTGGAGACACCCACTGCTACCACAGCCACCTACGTGTCCCCAGGGCCACCGCTGTGTTGCTGTGCAGTTTTTCCCCCTGGGACACCTTTGCCAGCAACTCTGGAGGCCTGAGCAACCACAGCTCCCACCAGCTGCAGTGGTGCTCCATTTTCTTCTCCCTGGTGACGTGTGGTAGGACCAGAGGGAACGGATGCAGGCTGTGCCAGGGCAGGCTTAGGTTAGATATTAGGAAGCATTTTTTCACTGAAAGAGTTGTCAGGCATTGGAATATATTGCCCAGGGATGTGGTGGAGTCACCATCTCTGGATGCATTTAAATGGCATGTGAACCTGGTGCTTAGGGACATGGTCTAGTGGTGAGCTTGCACTCTTATATCTAGAGCTGGACTGGATGATCTTGGAGGTCTCTTCCAGCCAGGGAAATTCTGTGATTCTTCTCAGTGATGTCCAGTGACAGGACAAGGGGCAAAAGGTGCAAGATGGAGCATAAAAGGTTCCACGTAACCATAAGGAAAAGCTTTTTCACTGTGAGGGTGACAGAGCCCTGGGCCAGGCTGCCCAGAGAGGCTGTGGAGTCTCCTTCTCTGGAGACATTCCAACCCCCCTGGCCACGTTCCTGTGTGATGTGCTCTGGGTGCCCCTGCTCTGGCAGGGGGGTTGGGCTGGGAGAGCTTTCCAGGTCCCTTCCAACCCCTGGGATTCTATGATTCCATTTGACAACTCCCTATCATTTTAAAACTTAGCCCATCCCAGACCTGCCCTGCTGCAGGGTTCTTGCCCTCAAGTCTGTATATTTTAGCCAAAACTCATTCCAGCCTTTTGGGATCCAGGCAAAGCACAACTGCTGCTTTGCAGCCTGGGGCTGTCTGACCTAGAAAGTAATGGCAACAACTCCTCCCTTGGTGCTCTGTGGGAAGGATGGTGCTTGTTTGGAGGCAGGCCTACTGGAAGCTTTTGGGAATGCTGTGCTTTTGTGCAACTCTTACTGCCATTAATATTTCACCTGGTCAGAACATATCCCAGCTTTTTAAAGAGAAACCCCAGCAGCCAGCCACAAAGCTGCAAAGAAGTCACAATGGGAGCAGTCCCAGTAACTCAAGCCATCCATCACGTTATCAATTCTAGAGGGAGTCACTTTTTGTGGTGTGCTCTGTTACCACACTTGGAATTACCCTCACCACAGTGTCCCTGGCTACCACAGGAGACACAACCAAACCTCCTTTAGTGCTCTCTTCATCCCACAGAGCAGGCGACACGGCAACACATTTAACTTTGGAGGATGACCTTGCATCTCTCCAGATGCCACCTTGCCTCTTGCACACTCCATGGTAATGTCCCTAGATGTGCTTTGGCAATCTCAAGCCTCTGTGAGTCATGTGTCCCCTTCCACGGGTTCCCTTGGAGCGCGTCAGCCGGTCAAGTTTGCCCAGAGCTGGAGGAAATCTCCGTGATGGTGTGGGGTTGCATCACAGAGGTGGAGGATGTTTGGACAACTGGGCCCAGTCCCTGCTGAGGCAAGCCTTGGATTGCACAGTGCATCTGGCACCTCATCTCGGGGCTGCTCGTGAGAAGGGCAGGGATGGATGGAGCACAGGGAGGAGAGAGAGGAGGTTGAATGGGCTGGAAAGACTTGCAGGTCACATCCTGATTGCAAATCTGGGCTAGGTCAGTAGCAGTCATCCTTGGTGTCTGTGATGAAGATGGATGGACAGACCAATGAACAGATAGAAGGAGGGAAGAAAAGATGGACAGAAGGAAGGACAGATGGAAAGGGTTCCACCAGTAAATGTACAAGGTTTGGTCTTGCACAAAAAGTCATCATGATTTTGATAAGGCCGGCGCCAAACCTAAATTACTCCAACACTCCCATGATATAATTCCATCCTGTATGATTAAAAGCTTTCCCAGCAAACTGGGAGATTAAAACATTTGATCCAAAAATATTGAGAAATCTCTCTGCCCTACCCTGCTGGATGCC